ATACACACACAGAGGAATCTTAACCCCCACACTTGTAGAAATAATCCCCTTTGGAACTAGGCTTTTCTTTGGCACAGTAACAAGTCTGCTCTGGATATGCTTTACATCTAATCACTCTTGAATTACAAGAAATAGCAGAGACAAAGAGAAAAGCAAGCATAACCTGAGGAAGAAAGATGCCACATCAAGTCCATGAAGGACCCAAGGAAAAGAGGATGGGGGGTTATAGAAGTGGAAAGTGATGAGGCTCTTCCCCCTCTAGAGCCTGCTGAGAGCAAACCTTCCTATTTAGGCAATGCCTTGGCCCATGAATCTGAACTTTTAGATTCTTAAACTGTAAATATATAAACTTTTCTTAAATACCACTAAGAAATGAGACATGGAAAACTGTTAGTTCTGTGCAAAGGAGCCACACAAAAGAATGCAGGGTGGAAAATGTTGGGGCCAATACAAGAATTAGGAATTAGGAAATCCAAGCTATACAGTGACAGTCACATCAAAATCACAATATTATGTCATTCTCCTCCTTGCTCTCAGTTTCATGCACTCATTCTACTTTCAGGAAGTCTGGGTAGAGAAGTGATGGTGCCAATGCTCAGAATGTTCTTCCCCTTCAATACCTCTTGTCAACTCACAGTAGGTCTGAGGAAGAGAGAAAAAAAGTACTATTTCTGGCCTTGGAGTCAGAAAAACTTGAACATGAATTCCAGCTATATACATACTGCTTTGTGTGAGAGTGGCATTAAGCAATTTCTTCAGCTTCTTTGAGCCAATGTCATTATGTGCAAAACATACACAAAGCCTTCTTGGGGATTTAATTTTCAAAACCCAATAAATGTAGTTCTTCCCTTTATGTTCTCCTTTAATTAATCTGAGAAAAGAACAAGAACTGGACAAACCATCAGCTAAAGGATTCCAATTCTTGGCCTTGGAACAAATACAAAGGTTACTCTGTTTGAAATTGTAATAATAATGCTTTAAATCCAGTAGGGATTATAATGTATTGTCTACTGCTACATGAAAAATAAAAGAAGGGAAAAGGTCAGTTACACAAAAAGAAAGATCCTCAGTGATATGAACTGACACAATGACTATAGCAATGGGCTCAAACACAGCAAGGATTCTGAGTATGGCCCAGGACCAGGATGTGTTTCCTTCTAGTGTACACAGTGCATTTTGAGTTTGAGCCAACTCTAAAGCCCTTGACAATAACACATTTCCCCATGCTTGACATTACCTCAATCATATATTCTGAAATTGTCTAGCAAGTAATTCTTTGCCAACTCTCCACTTATTTTTGGTTGGGTTTTTTTTGTTGTTGTTTTTGTTTTTTAGTAAACCAGACCAGAAATTAATTTTTAGGTTTCTCAACAAGACTGAGATTTCCCATGCCCGATCCTGGGATCTATTGTAATTATAGTATTTTCTCTACTGAGTAATTTAAACACCATCCATTCATTACTCAAATTTTCTCTTAGAATATGATATCCTACAGCCTACTTAAGCAGAGGTCTGGTGGCCTGGTGGTAAGGAGCTGTACTTGCTGGTCCAAAGTCACACAGAAGGATGGGCAATCTCCTCTCACGGGGTTTACAGCATCTGAAAACCCACTGGAAGCTTAACTATAAGTCGGTTCTAACTCAATGGCATATAAAAAATAGAATTCTTTCTTTTCCCCAAAATCTACTTCTCCACCAGTCTTTCCTATATCATGCAACAATACCACCTGGAGTCAACTTTCATCTTTCACATCCAAACCATCACACGTGCAATGACTATAGCCACCATTCTGATTAGTATCTAACCAGAGTACAGAGATAGCCTGGGTTCCTCTACTGCCATTATTGCCACATACAACCCACTTCTCAATCAGATTAAGGTGTTAAAACAAAGCACGTCATGCAACTTCATCAAAGAAAATTTTTCAGTGTCTTCCCTAGGCTGATATCTTTCAGTTCTTTGGACATATCAAACACATTCTCACCTTACTGCTTTCATTTATGGTGTTCCTTTGGCCTAGACTGTTCTGCCATTAATACTCAATTTACCCTTAAGTTTTGGCTCCAACATCACATGTCTGGAAAAACAACTTCTCCAATACCTTAATCAGATGAGGTTTACTAGCATCTTAACCATTCCTTTCACAGCACTGAAAACATTATTTGTAGCCATACATTTGTACAATTCTGACTGACAGCTGTCTGAAACGGTGTTGTAGTGTTGTGCTGTCAAACCAAAGGCAGGCAGGTCAAAACCACCAGCTTCTCTAAAGAAGAAAGCTCTCTCCTCCCATGCAACTTCCAACCTCTGAAAACAACTTGGGAGTGTCCACTATGAATTGGTTCCAACTCGACAGCATATAACAACCACTGCAATATCCTACACTGTCACGCCAAGTGGCCCACAACTAAAACTCACCCACCTTTCCAATAAACATATGAAGTGAACTCATGAATCATCTAAATCAACTGCATAATAAAGAAAAGATGCATCAAGGTCCACCTCAATTGGTTATTCAGGCAAAGCATTTCTAAAACTCACAGTACTGGACACTGCAAGTAATTCTTGTGGAAAAACAACACAGTAATTTATGATTAGCTCATTTTTTTTTGTTTTTTTATAGCTCTGAAACAGATTTCAACATAGTACATACTCAAATGCACTTAGATATAACTGCATGACAACAAACGTGTAATCAAGCACTTGAATTAATGATGCTTCAGAAACTCTAAATAATATAATTCCCTAAAAGACAGCAGCATTTGAGAACAGTTTAAACAGCTAAGAGTCAATCCTGACAGGGTGAAGATCAATTCTTGAACATCTGGCCAAATTATGTTATTAGTCTTTTATTACCAGCTCTCCAACCACAGTGTATCTCAATAACCATGATGTACTTAACATCACATATTTCTTTAATTACTAAAATTCTACATGAAAGTATTGTCAATAAGTGGTTATGTGATTAATCTAATATATGTCTTCGGATGGCCATAAAAGACCTAAATAGAATTCTTTTAAGGCAAGATATAAATTCATAAAACATTCATTATTTCCTAAATATACAGCATATAAGAGAATTTACAATAGAAATTCTAGAGTTTAATGCACATTCTAAAGTATAAGACACTACACTAGTTAGTATTTTGCAAACATTGAGTTGGTCCTTTAAGGTATTTCCTAATCTTCACAATAACCTTGAAAGCTGAGACTGATTTTTGGTAACTTCAACTACTGCAAAGCTAATATCCAAGTACTAAGTTTTTAAGACACTGTAAGCTGGATACACACACATGTGCACATACAAAACCATACAAAGCCCAAGGAACCAACAGTTTTAAAGAAACTGAAGAACTTTACTGAGAGTATTTAATTTAAAATACCAAAAGTCTCCTAGAAAGCCAAAAGTTCAAAGTAATATCCTTCATTTTTAAATGCCTTTCGAAATATTTCTATTCAAAACAACTTCTAAATCCTACTTAATAAAGTCAGTAGATCCCTTTACTATTAAACTACTATGCAAGAGTGAAATAAGCTTGAAAAATATCTCTGTATACTTTCAAATGCTTCAAGAAAAGAAAAATCAACAGCTCTGTTTAAATTAACAAAGACTTTGATTTTTCCAAAGGAAAAGACTAGATATTAGAGAAAAGGCATATAGAAACAAAAGAAAAGTTTTTGCTTCTAATATGACAAAGTACCACAATGGAATAACAGGAATAGTATTATCTAAAGCTAAATGATGTCAGGCTTTAAAACAATAACTGTAAGGGTTGGATCCTTTGCAATTATTTCACACTGTATGACTGTGACATTATCAAATCTTAGTACAAATATTCTCTTGTGTGAAATAATCATATATCCAAGATAAGTCACACAGATTCTCTATTTAAACTTTGCTAAACTATGGTCATTCTGAATCATTTCATCCTATGTGGTACAAGCTACGCATTTACAAAACTCTTATCAACAGCAGTGTCACACTCTTGTAAATGTACACTTGACAGTAATATTAACTCATAACAACGTTAGATGTTAACCAACTCTCTAAAGCATAACTATTATTTCAAAAGTAATGATTTTGAACCCTGAAGGTAAGTTTTATATGACATTGAAAAGGAGAATTACTTAAATGTAATGGTTAATGATGTCAATAACAAAATATATAAAAATGGGGCAGGGGGAGAAAATTAATGGAAGCTTTTGTTTACAAAGTATAGCTGCTTACACAAAGTCCTCAATAGGGTCTTCCTGGAATTCTTCACAGGAAAACGAAGACCCTACCCCCTCAACGGACTGTACGGTATGTTTTTCAGGTTTTTAAAAATATAGTTCCCTCCCTGAAGGTTTACATTATAAGCAAAATGAATGTATGCCATCATCAGGAATAGTATGTTCCAGAACTTAAGACTCCTATGATCTTCTGCATACTCAAGTTTACAAGAAATAAACTTTAATAATTTATAGACTGCAAGCACGCCCTGTGGTAAGATTTTCCTTCAAACTGCAACGTCCCCACTCTGGGGATCCCTAATGGGTGCACATAAGACACACTAGATGATCTTTAAAATGGGCACAGATGGTAGGTAGGTGCGCAGCACTCACCCCATGAGACGTCCACACCTAACCCTCCCCAACATTCATTCCCTTCTCTGGGGAGAGGGGGTGGCACAAATAGAACTGTCATCAGAGGGGTGGTAGCTGTTAAGCCTGGGTGAGAAAGCGCACAAGAGATCTATGACTGGATAGGAGGAGAGTTGTTCAAGGCAGCCTCTCTGAGATCACATTAACTAGCATAGATCGCTGCAAACTTTGGAGGGATTAGGTTACATTCCTCTGCACGTCCATCCTTGACAGCTGAATCTCGAGATGCCAAAAAAAAGTCGAGTGCGTTTATTCCCGCCTTCTCACCCGGGGAGGGAGGGAGCAGCCTCGGCGCTCAGCGTGGATCAGAGATCAGGGAGGGAGGCAGCGGAATGAGGAGGGGGCCCGGGACTTACCTTTTCCAGCTCATCGTGGAGCTCTGCCAGGCTGGGCCGGAGCAGCTTTTCGCCCAGCTGCGCGACCGTGTGCCGGTAGTGGTCGATCCTCGGCACGGCGTCCATGGTGTTGTGGCCGAAGGTGCGCAGGTAGTAAGTGTTGGTGTGGGTGTCATAGTAGTAGTGATGGTGGTGCCCGCTGCCGCCGCCTCCACCGCCCGAGTGCAGGCTGCTGCCCTCACTCAGCACCGTGTCCCCGCCGTTCTGGAAGCTCACGTTGGGTCCGTCGCCTCCGACCCCTGGGGCATCCGACAGGCTCTCCTCCGCCGAGGAGGAGGCTGCCGGATCCACGAAGTTCACGCGGAAGCGACCCTTGGCTTCCTCACTGCTCTTGGGGAGCCCGCTCCCGCCACCGGTCTTTCCGGATGCAGGGGTCTCCTTGGTCCCCGATCCGGCAGCTGCTGCCGCGGCCGCGGCCCGTCCGGCGCTCTCGGAGACCAAGTCCACCTGGAAGCGACTCTGGCTGGGGGTGGGCCCCAGCGGTCTTCCCAGCCCGTCCCCGGCCGCCGCGACCACCTCATTGCGGACCCCGCCGCCGCCCCGGCTCGCGGTGGCAGCATCCTCTGGCGCCGAGGGCACCGCAGTGCCAGGCAGGTCCACTCCGGTAGCTGCCAGCGCGGCGGCTGGCGGCGTCTCCCCGGCCCCTGCCGGCCTCGGAGCGCCGGAGGAGGGCGCCGTGGGCCTCGGTTCCATCGCCGCCCGACCACCTGCGAACCAGAAAAGCCTGGGGGACGTCACAGGCTACACGCCCTCCTCACCCCGCGGCGGCCGCGACCGCAACGCCTGATGAACGAGTCGCGCTCTCCTTCTCCTGCCTGCCGCCGCTAGCCCAGACCGGCACGAACTCCGCCGGCAGCCGAGTCAGCGCGCGAGTGAAGCAGGTTCGGGGCGGGCCCCGCTGTTTAAAGCCGCGGCGGGGCCGCTGTGGCTGCAGCTATGGGTGCAGCACGCGGGAGGCGGGGCCGGCAGCTCCCCCGCCCCTCAGCCCGCCCACCCGCGATCCCGCAATGGCGCACGGCAGGCGCTCCCGGGTGCCTGGGCCGTCCTGGACTCCTACGCAACCTGGCGGGGGAGCGGCCCGCACAGGGTTAGCACACGGCCAGTTTGCGCCGGGCCTGGGGCAGCGCGAGCTGCGTGAGCAACGCGACCAGAGGACTGGCGCGGCCACGCACTCCCTCCCGGCTGTCGCCGGGAAGACCTCAGCGCCGAAGCCTCCCCTTCCGTCGTCCCCCTCCCAACTCGCCACCTCCTTCCCCCGCCCCACTCTGCGGCGTCGAGAAGCGGCCCCTTTGGCGGCCTTCCTCTCTACCGTCCCAGGGGCCGTGAGTCAATGGACTGAGCAGCCCAGGCCACAGTGCTGCTTGTCGGCACCCAGCCCGGCGGGCCAAGGGGCGTGCTGGCGTTGCCCAGGCGCGTGCCAGTAGCAGATGCTCGGGCAGCAGAAGCTGCCACCACAGCAGTACCTCCTGGGATTCTCGCTGGTCGCTTTTTTTTTTTTTTTTTTTTAAGTTCTGAACTCGCTGTACTTGTGCAAAGCCAATAAAATCTCGCGAGATGCTGCAGGGCAAAAGACCGCTTCCCTTATAGGCGCGTGGTACCCGAGACCAGGCTGGAGATGCCAACCTCTTTGCTGTCCTCCTGGTGATGCAGCCCCGGGCTTTCACGTCGGCAACATTGGCGCTCCCGGAACCGCGAGCTAACAGTACCGGCCAGGGAAGGCGGCCCCGCGCACCGGCCTGCTGCAGCTTTTCACACATTCAGGGCCTGAGCCCCAGGCAGGATTTCCACCATGCTGCCTTGAGGCAGTTCTATTTGCATAACTTTACCTTGATGATTCTGATACAGTGGGTGTGACCACACAGCCAGTAATCCTTTAATTTAAAAGCTGTGATGTTAGAAAATGGGAAGAGGATTGTTGTGATAGCTCATTGTTTCAAAACTATTTTTCATTTGAGGTGTTTACAAAAAATGCGTTTAAAGAATACACAAAGGCGAATGAGTAAGAGGAAGCGTACTTGGCTTGGTTTGTGAAGAACTGTAATAGGCATCTCCTCTATAAGCCTTAAGTAAAAACATTAACAGCAATAAGTTGTTTTCTCCAATAGCTAGTTTTGTGCTTTTGTATGTATTTTGAAATTACAGTAGAACATAAAGGCCATCCTCTGCTGAATTCTTCAGGCATGATAAAAGAGTCTCAGTTTGTAGAGCTGTTTGAAAGTGCTCAAAATAAAGGCTGTACCAGAAGAAGGCCTGGCAAACTCTTTACAAAAATCCATTACAAATTGTGTAGATCACAATGCTGCATGGACAGACACGGTCATCCTGAGTCAGAATCAACTCTATGGCACTTACTTGGCTTGTGAAATAAAAAGGGAAAAGCTAAGGAATTGCTGAGTTTTAGATGGATGCCCTATGTTCACATTCCACCAGATTATGATTTTACTTTTCTACCAGTTGGCATTCAGCAAACACACCAGGCCCCAGGAATAGATGGTATAACAATTGACATATTTCAGCTAACAGATGCTGCCCTGGATGCGCTCACCAAGTTGTGCCAAGAAATCTGGAGAACAACCACTTGGCCTACTGCCTGGAAGAGATCTATATTTGTTTCCATCCCAAAGAAAGGTGACCCAACAGAGTGTGGAAACTATAGAATAATATCATTGATTTCACATGCAAGCAAGATTCTACTGAAGATTATCCAAAAACGACTGGAGCAGCACATCCGCAGAGAACTGCCAGAAGTCCAGGCTGGGTTTAGAAGGGGTCATGGTACTAGGGATATTTTAGCTAATGTTAGATGGATCTTAGCCGAAAGCAGAGAACACCAGAGGAATACCAGAGACAATTCTCTGTTGACATATTGTTCCAAACGTTTTTTGTTATTGTTGATTGCCTTCGAGTCAAACACGATTCATAGTGACTCTATGAACAAAAGGCCTGAAGCCCTTCTACAACTATTGACATTTATCAAAATTCATAGACTTTCTGGAGGCAAGTTGTTTAGGAAGTGGATGACACTCCTGCTTCCAACTAAATTACAAAAATTTCACTTATCCTCTTCTTACCTTGCTCTTCAAAAGTTACGTTTTTATTAGGTTGTGTGTCAATAGATCTGGTTGAGAGTCTTCATCTCTTTGATCAAACCTCGATCTATGCAAAAATGATGTCACTCTCCAAGGAATAGTCTCTCCTACAAACAGACCTAAGATTATGGTAACCCATAAAAATATAAGGTTATTTGGGGTTTTATTTGCTAAATGTTTCATCTTGCATGTTATTATAACACCCAATTATGAAGTGTGTAATTATTTTTGTTACTTTACTCTGACTTTTTTGTGCATAACTTAATCTTCCTTTAAATGTAGACAAAACTACTAGGTTCAAAATTCTTGTTAAAAAAATAAAAAGCCAGGCTGGTGATTATAAAGGCAAAAACACTGTTTACATGTCAAATAACTGTTTGAAGCTTGCTTCCACATCAGCTTTCTAATATGTCCCTGGGTATCAACTCTTACAATTAGTAAAAACACTTTTTTTCTTAGTTTAAAAAAAAATAAGTCTATCTCCATTTCACCCAATTTCTGAACACAAGAAAAGCAACTTCCCTGCTTGTAGGGACATGTCCTTGGAGAAGAACATCATGTTTGGAAGGGTGGAGGGTCAGCACAGGAGAGGAAGACCCAGAATGATATGGATAGAGACATAGTTACTGGGGCATTGTGAGATTGGCTCATGATTGGACAGAGTACAAAGCTATTGTGAATTAGGTCTCTATGTGCTGCAAGCAACTCAACAGTGCATAATAACAACAACAAGATTAAAGACCCAGTAATTAATTATATATTTATTATGCAATATTTCCCTAATTACTAAAGTAATAAAAATTTTATAAAAACCAAAAGGAATCAGTAATAATAATCTCGTCACTCCAAATGAACATTTATCTTTTGAGATATACACACACACTATACAAGCAGAATATTGTAGTAGATTATCCAAACACAATTAGAACAGTACATTCTAGCAGAAAATTTTCAGAAGTTAGTTCAAAATAGATTTAGAAGAGATTGTGGCATCAGGAATATCATTGCTGAAATCAGATCATCCTAGCTGAAAGCGGAGAATACCAAACGAAGGTCTATTTGTACTTTATTGATTATGCAAAAGCATTTAACGATGTGGTTCATGACAAATTTTGGCTAACATTGAGAAGAATTGGAATCCCAGAACAATCAATTATAATCCTCTAAAACTTATGCCTAGACTAAGAAGTTATTGTTAAAACAGAGCAAAGAAACATTTCATCTTTTAAAATTAAGAAAAATATGTGTCAGGATTGTATTCTTTCTTCCTACTTATTGATTCTGTATCCTGAGTAAATCATTCGAGAAGCTGGTCTTTAAGAGAAATATGGCATCAGGATCAGAGAAAGACTCATCAACAACCTGCCATTATGCAGATGATACAACCTTGCTGAAATGAGGACTTCAAACACTTGCTGCAGAAGATCAAAGATTACAGCCCTCAAATGGATTACATCTTTATAACAAGAAAACAAAAATTATCATTACTGGACTGATAGGCAACAAATGATAGATGGAGAAAAAAAATTGAAGCAATCAATAATTTCATCTTTGATCCATAATCAACACCCTTGTTATCAGCACTCAGGAGATTAGGACACATTGCATAGAGCAGTTCTGCAGTCAGGGACATCTCTATATTACCAAAAAGCAGTGATGTCATTTTGAAGAAAAGGTCCTCCTGATTCAGGCTATTGTATTTTCAACCATTTGCTATGTGTCTGAAATCTGAGAAATGAATAAGAATGACAGAAGAACTGATGGTTTTGAGCTGTAGAGTTGTAGAAGAATTCTAACTGTCCTATGGGATGTCAAAAGAACAAAGAGATAATGTTTTGGAGAAGGTGCTCCTTGGAGGTCAAGAGATAATGAAGCTTCGTCACACATACTTGGGACACCATACTTGCAAAGTGGAGGAGGGTGAGTGAAAAGGAGGATAGATTGGCACAATAGCTGCAGCAATGGGTCAAATATGTCAGAAAAAAATGAGGATGGTACTGGACAGAACTGAATTCTGTTATCCATAGTGTCTCTTTGTGTCTCATACTTGATGGCACCTAACAACACACAAACATGCAAATAGACACACACGCTTTGTGTTGCACACTCTCAATGGCCTAGTGGCAAAGAACTATGTTGTTAACCCAAAGGCTCAATGTTCAATTTCATCCAGCATTCTCGATGGAAGAACAATAAGTAGTCTTCTCCTGTGCGATTTACTGCTTCTCTACACTCACTAGAACAATATGATTGATTTCACCTGCAAGCAAATTTCTACTGAAGATTATCCAAAAACGACTGCGGCAGCACATCAGCAGAGAACTACCAGAAGTCCAGGCTGGGTTTAGAAGGTGTTGTGGTTCTAGGGATATTGTAGCTGATGTTAGATGGATCTTAGCTGAAAGCAGGGAATACCAGAAGAATGTCCATCTGTGTTTCATTGATTATGCAAAGGCACTT